AGCTCCTCATCTTTCTTGAACTGGGGAGCCCAGAACTGGACACAGTACTCCAGATGGGGCCTCACCAGGGCAGAGTAGAGGGGAAGGAGAACCTCCCTCGACCTGCTGGCCACACTCCTCCTAATGCACCCCAGGATCCCATTGGCCTTCTTGGCAGCCAGGGCACACTGCTGGCTCATGGTCAACCTGTTGTCCACCAGCACTCCCAGGTCCCTCTCGTGCCATCCCCATGGGCAGCATCCGTGGTGGGATGCGTCTTTTAAGCGGGCAGAAGCCGGGGTGAGCTGGCTCTTACCTCGTCGCACGCCGCGCAGCGGGGCTTGAGGCACTCGGCGTGGTGCCTGCCGCAGTAGATCTTCCCGTCTTGGTAGAAGTAGATCAGGTCGACCAGCAGCTCGTTGCAGACGCTGCAGATGAAGCAGGGAGGGTGCCAGCAAACGCCATGCCCAGCTCGCGAGGCGAAGACGGCCATGTCCCCTCCGTTGATCTGGCCGCCGCACTGTCAGAAAAGACGGTGTTCAGCGGGGGGTGGGCGCGCCCGCCAGCCGCTCTCACAGCCGTGGCAGAACAAGGTGCTGATCCACAGCTCCTTTCTGCTGTCTCTTCACCTCTTTTCAACCGCGTTTTGCGGCCAGGATACCAACAGCTTCCCCCACGTGCAAGGAGCTGGCGTGACCGCTCCACGTCAGGTATCGCCGGGTGCAGTAGCTCCCGTGAGCTTCGCTCAACTCTGGCGATTAAAAAGCTGCCCGACTCGCGCCAGCTCGCCAGCCGCTACCCACCTGCTCGCAGATGGCTCCCGTCATGGTTACGGGGAACGGCCGGACGTTGCCTCTCCCTAAATTTTCCCTCTTCCTTTGATTGCTGAAGAGTTTGAGCTCCCTCTTCTCCTCCTCATCCAACGAATTGCAATAGCGGACCTGAAAAGCACAAGCGATGCTCGGTGCTGGGGGTGCCCCCGGCTCCCTTCCCAGCCAGCCACAGCCCCGCGGGCTCCGCCAGCCTCTGCACGGGGGGTCTGCACACAAACTCCGTCCCGGGCTGAGGGGAGGCTGGAGGAACCCCGCTGCCTGGGCTTCAGTCAGCCCGGGCTTCGGCCAGCATTTCAAGAGGTAGAGACGAGAAAAAGGGCAGGAGGATGGTTGCTCTCCAAGCACTAGGTTTCTAGGAAACTCTTAAAAGTTGGGTCCTCCGAGTCTCACCCAGGCCCAGCAATCAGACTGGTGGGTTTTCCTTACGCAGAGGTCTCACAGCAGCTTCAGAACGGTTCACTGGCATTTCTAGAGCGCAGCCCGTTTTCCCTGTGTAAATGAGGGAGTTCCAGCTATCTGGGAACTCCAACTATCCTCCCAGCGTAGGGTCAAGTTTGCACCTAAGCAAAACCTCTGCATTGGAAGGCAGTAAGGAAATAAGCAAAATAAAAGGATACAAACAATGAATGATGCAATTTCCTCGAAGCTTATGAAACTGTGAGGTTTTCCTGGCTATTTCCATCCCACAGGCTTAGGTCTTGCCTGACTGCATCTCAGCAGAGAATACGACGACGAGCCAAGGCGGCCACGTGTAGCACCGGCGCCCAGTCCAGCCTCCGTTACTTCGGAGAGCAGGCTCAGGGAACTGAGCAGGACTATTCACGTCAGCAACCAACACACCTTCAATTTTCCAAAGGAGCCACACCGAGCGTGAGGGGAAACTGGATGCAAAATCTGCCAATTTGCAGAAAATACATGCAGATTCTTGCCTCCAGCTTGCAGC